ATGGAATATTATTCAGCACGAAAAAAGAAATGAACTATTTATCAAACCATGAAATGACATGGAGGAAGCAAATGTATGTAGGATATTAATCATAATTATTTTATAGTCTGTGTCTGATATCTCCAGTATTTCAGTCTCTTGTGGATCTGATCTACTTCTGTGTTCTTCTTCTGATTTTCAGTCACTTGGTTCTACTTATTGACATAACTTGTAGATTTTTGTTCAAATGCTAAACACTGTGTATGAATAATTGTAGAAGCTCTATATGTTTTCCTTTTCCAGAGATCATTTAGCTTTCTTCTGGCAGAAAGAATAGAGGGAGGTCATCCTAACCTGATAAGGGTATATAGTATTTTGAAGCTAGTTTTTTAAAGGCAAGTTTATTTCTACTTTTTCTTTATTTCCAGGCTGTCTAAAGTCTCTGCTGGAGATGTTTTTCAGAGTTCCCACTTCTTGCTGGGTTTTGACTTCCACTTTTTGACTCCCCAGCTCAATGAGACCATTTCACTTTTCAGCCTGTTATCTCCTTCTTTCTGCTTAGGCTTTTGATATCCTACCTGCATGGTGCATGGCTAAGGAGTCAGCAAATGTCTTAGTGGGAAAAGGGGCTGGAGTGTTAACTCACTTTTCAATAATTCTCTTTTCTCTGGGATCTGAGCCCTTCCAATCCTGGCTCTCTTGCTAGCTGTGAACTCCATGTTGTGTTCTGCCCCAAGACTCCTAAAAGCTCCCTAAAATGCACCTCTCTGCTTGGGTCTAGGTCCTGCACTTTTTGCTTATAATTCAGCAAATGTCTCAGGGGGGAAAGATGGAGAATGTCACCCTGATCTCACATTTTCTTTCTTTCCTAGTCTTAGCCCTTTGAGTCCCAGGGACCTTGGTTGCTTTCTGATACCTTCAAAGTTTTGTTTGTTAAAGAAATCTAATTTACCATCATTCTCAGTGAGAGATATGTCCTAAAATTAGCTCTTAGATCAGAGCTGGAAGTATATGACCAAATGCTGACAGCTAAGATACAGTCTTCAGACTGGCCCCCTTATAAAATTATGTGTGGGGTGAGGACTGGATTCTCCCATCATTTTTTTTTTATTTGAACCACATAGAACTTAGAGGATACCATGTTTTTTGGTTTTTGACAGAATGAATCTTTTTATTTTTTCTTCTTTCCTTTTCTTTTTTTCTTTTTTGTTTTCAAGTAGGGGTGAGGGGCAGAGGGGGAGAGAGAGAAAATCTGAAACAGGCTCCACACTCAGCATGGAGCCAGATGCAGGGCTCGATCCCACAACTCTGAGATCATGACTTGAGCCAAAATCAAAAGTCCAATGCTCAGTCAACTATGCCACCCAGGTGCTCCCAAGGAATGAATCTTCTATAATATAAATATGCAAGTTATTTTTTTTCTCTGTTGCTTATAACAATTAAAATAGTATTACTTGGTGTTAATTCAATAAAAACAAATGTGGGGTGCTTAGTGGCTTAGTTGGTTAAGTGTCAGGCTCTTGAATTCAGCTCAGGTCATGATCCCATGGTTCATGGGATCCAGCCCAATGTTGGGCTCTGTGCTGGTAGCAGGAGCCTGCTTGGAATTTTCTTGCTCTCCCTCTCTCACTGCGCCTCCACCACATGTGTGCATGTTCTCTCTCTCCCTCAGAATAAATAAACAAACATTAAAAAATAAACATAAATGCAAGCTCGGGTCTGAAATGCCAAAGAGGTTTAGCCAGATGATCCAATAATTATATTTAATTAAAAAAAAAATGATCACTTAGGGGTGTCTGAGTGGCTGGGTCAGTTGAGCATGTCCAACTCTTGATTTCTGCTCAGGTCATGATCCCAGGATAGTGGGATCGAGCCTTGCATTGGGCTCCACTCAGAGTGTGGAGCCAGAGCTTTCTTAAGATTGTCTCTCTCTCTCTCCCTCTGCCCTTTTTCCCTGCTTTCCCTCTCTCTCTCAAATAAGATAAATCATCATCCAAATAAAAACATAATATTAAAAAATAAGTTATTCTGTACTTGAGGACCATTAGGAATATATTGACGTGGGGCTTGAACCCACAAACTGAGAGGTCATGACCTGAGCTGAAATAAGATGCTCAACCCACTGAGCCACCCAGGCACCCCTATTTATTATTTTTAGAGAGAGTGCGCACGCGCATGTGTGTGCCCATGCGCACATGGGGGAGGGGCAGAGAGAGAGAATCCCAGGCAGGCTCTGCGCTGTCAGCACAGAGCCCAGTGTGGGGCTCCATCTCATGAACCATGAGATCAAGACCTGAAACCAAAATCAACAGTCCAATGCTTTACCGACTAAACCACTTAGGCACCCCTCCTTTTTCTACTTAAGAGTTTAGCCTCTAAAAATCTCTGAGACTCACCTTTTTTTTGAGAAATGGCATGTATAATTGGACACACACACACACACACACACAGCCCGTATTTATTTGCATGTGTGGGTATATAGGTAGGGATTTGTTTTTGCACTTATGCGCACATGCCTACAGAGCCCACTTTTGGAGAGATCTCCAAGGGGACCAGAAATGATCATTTATATCTGTCCAGGACTAGACTGAACTGTGTACATTCAGGAGTTGATAATTATCAGTTACTATCCCCCTGAAGCCTCAACGCATTTCCTTAGACTCAGTCACTCAGATAAGGGAAGTCATGATGGGTGTGGTAGAATAAAGTATGTTCACAAATCTCTACCCTATAGTAGTAATACACATCTCCACTCTAGCCATGGCCTCTTGGTATACGGCTATGCTTCTCTGCCCTTTGACTTTGCACTTGGCAGTGTGGCATACATTGGCCCCAAGGATGTTAGCAGACATATAAAAGCAGAGGTCTGAAATATACACGTGTGGTGTTCTTTCTTATTGTTAAGTAGCATTCTGTCACATGGTGGAATTGCAACTTGTCTATCCATTCAGTAGTTGATAGACATTTTCAGTGTTTCCAGTTTGGGCAATTATGAGGAAAGCTGCTATAAACATTCACATATATGTCTTTGTGTGAACATATGTTTTTATTTCTCTTGGGTAAAAATCTAGGAATGGACTGCTGGGTCTTATGGTGAGTGTATGTCTAATTGTATAAAGGGTGGCCAAAGTGTTTCCAAAATAGTTTTACCATTTTACATTCAGACCAACAATATATGAGGTTCCAATTGCTCCACATCCTCACCAGCACTTGATAAGTTTTTTTTTCAAGGAGCTGTTCTAATAGATACATTGTGTGTGTTGCTTTGAAGCAATTGTTCATGCTAGATTCAGGCACAGATATAATTGGTTATTCTTATACACAGCACATGTAGTAGATTGGGTTTTTGCTCTCTTAAATCCCGTACCCATGTCCTTTGTCATGTGACTTTTTAGTTTCTCTCCTGAGAGGCATATTTTCCTGCCTTGATACCAGACCTGGTCATATGCTTGCCTTAGCCATTGGAACATGAGTGAAAGTGCCAGTACTGCAGTTCTACTTTTTTTTTTGAGAGAGAAAGAGAATGTGTACGTCCATGTGAGCAGGGGAGAAGGGCAGAGGGAGAGAGAGAACCCTAAGCAGGTTCCATGCTCAGCGTGGGGTCAATGTGGGACTCAATCCCATGACCCTGGGATCATAACCTGAGCTGAAATCAAGAGTTGTATGCTCAATCAACTGAGCCACCCATGCAGCCAACAGTTCTGATTCCATTTTTTTTTCAGTTTACTTATTAATTTTGAGAGAGAGAGAGAAAGCATGAATGGGGTGGGGGCAGAGAAAGAGGGAGAGAGAATTCTGATACAGCGCAGAGCCCAACATGGGGCTTGATCCCACAAACCATGAGATCATGACCTGAGCCAAAATCAAGAGTTGGGCACTCCACCGACTGAGCCACCAAGGTGCCCCCTGACTCCGGTTTTAAGAGGCCCTGTAATGTCCACTCATCTTTCTTGTGTTTCTGCCATTGCCAAAAGAAAAATGTGTTCTGGCTAGATCAAACCCCCAGATGAAGGGCATGAGTTCCTTAGGGGTATAAATGTTTCATAAGCACAAAATGATAAGATGCTCAAAATCATTAGTCATCAGGGAAATGCAAACCAAAACCACAATGAAATACCACTGCATACTCACAAGTAAAGCAAAAATTAAAAGACTAACAGTACTAAATGATGTTGAGGATATTGAACAACTTGAAGTTTCATATGCCATTGGTAGGAGTATAAAGTGAAACCACTTTGGAATATAGCTTGGCTTATTGGACATTTACATATCTTCTTTTCTTTTAAGTTTATTTATTTATTTTGAGAGAGAGAGAGAGTGAGAGCAGGAGAGGGCAAAGAGAAAGGGGAGAGAGAATCCCAAGCAGGCTCCACACTGTCAGCACAGAGCCCGATGCTGGGCTCGATCTCATGAACCATGAGATCATGACTGAGCAGAAACGAAGAGTCAGACGCTTAACCAACTGAGCTACCCAGGCACCCCTGGATGCTGACACATCTTCTCTAGTGAAATTGCTAGTCAAAGCATTTACGAAGGGAAGAATTGATATGGGTAGGCACTCAACAGAGTATGCCGCACAGTGAACTATACAGCGCTCTATCAGTTGACTATTGCCAAATAATGCTGTGTAACAAACCATCTCCAGGTGCAATGGCTTAAAACAACAAAAATTTACCCTCTCACATCCTTCACGCAGGGGTTGACTGATTTAGCCCGAGTATGAATACTGTTTGGCAGATTCTTATCAATTTAACACGCATCAACTACATGAGCCAATATTCCACTTCTAGGCATTTACTCAAGAGAAATAAAAATGTACACCTACACAGAGACTTGTCCATGCATGTTTATAGCAGTTTTATTTTCAATAGCCCCAACCTGGAAACATCCCAATGTTACAACAATACACAATGGAATACTACTCAGCAATAAAAATGAATAAAATGTTGGTACATGCAAGATCATGCATGAATTTTAAAACATTATATCGAGTGAAAGAAGCCAGACACAAAAAGAGCATATACTGTACAATTACATTAAAAATTCTAGAAAATCTATTGTGACAGAAGACAGATCAGTGATTACCTGCAGGCCTGGAGTGGAAGAAGGATCTGTGAGGAGACAGGAGGAAGCTCTCAGGCAAGGTGGAAATATTCTGTTATCTTGACTGGTGGATATGCCCGCTGAAACCTATCCAAGCAGGCACTTCCCATAAGTACATGTATTATACTTTGACAAAGTGGATTACAAGTTCTCCCCTTCATTCTCACTAGCAGAACCCCAGTTTTGTTCAGCGTGCCAGTAGGATTCCTTTGCAGCTCCAGATGATGATTTGACATGGTCCTGGCCTGGGAAAGGGAAGCAGAAGTCCCTTAGTGGGGCTTTTAGGAAACCTCTTGCCAGAGGGCAAATTCAGGCGGCACCAGATACAGGCTTTCTCTGCACATAGACTGAACTGAGGATTCTAAATCGCTGGTCTGTATTGCTCACCTTCGGGACAATGCTCAGTTTCAGAATCTCAATTCTAAAGTGGGCAGCCCTGGCTCAGATACTTAAGCACACCAGCTTCCTTTTCTGGCTCAGACTTATCGACCAGCTATCCTGCCTGGTCCCAATGGTACTTACACTTCCCTGAGGAACTAACACTTACAGGCCAGGGAGTCCCAGGCAGCTGCCATGACTCTCCAAGCTGCCCCCCAACTGGTAGGTGTTCTCTTGCTTCCTTCAAGTGATTTTCCCAGTCAGCTGACCATGACTCAGGATCATGACTCTTCTTTTTCCAAAATGGAAATATTTGCATGTTTTTTTTTTTCCTGAGTATAAAGCTTGACCCTCCTTACTGGCATTTTCCACCACTGTGCTCTTCTGTCTGTGCCTTTGCATCTTGACACTTATCTTTGTTTCCATCATATAAATATATGTGTGATTATTACAATAGTGGCTGTCTCCCTAACCAGATAAATGTGAAGTTTCAGAAGGGTAAGGATCATGCCTGTTTTTTTCATCCCCTTATTCCCATGGAATTCCCTGAATGGTAATGAATAAGTAAATGAACAAAACTTCCACATCAACTGCAGGTGGAAAGCAGACTCCTAATTCATTGGCTCAGATTATCATTCGTGCCATGATCGTTTTTTTGAGAAAGTTAAAAAACCATGAAGATTAGGTTCCCTAAAATATATACACTAGCTAATTTTGAATGAGCCATTACAAGTAGTCAACAAACATTTTTCACCTCATGTTAATTTCTTCACACCTCTCACTTTGGCAAGAGATCTTATTTCCTGTTTTGTTGAGCAAATCAGGATCAGCTAGTTTGAACTCTCTCATCTGTTTTCTCTTTCAATGTAAGTTATTCTTTAGGGGTATTTCTTCAACTTTCAACATGGAAGGCATACCTCTGCTTCCTCTGATACTCAGGGATCTTGCTTCCTTAATGACTCCCTTCTATCTACAGCAACGACAATCTCTTCTTGTCCATTTGTCTCTTTCCTTTCTGATGAATGAATTTGTTCATTCAGCCAATAAGTATTTATTAAACATTTACTAAACACCTTGCATTGTTTTAGGCTCTATTTAGGAATATGTTAAAGAGCAAATCTTCATTAGAACTTATATAGGAGTGGAAGTAGACAGATAATAAGCAAAACAAATATATAAATGATAGCGTTGGGGTGCCTGGGTGAGGCAATTGGTTAAGTGTCCGATTCTCTGTTTCTGCTCAGGTCACGATCTCTCAGTTTCATGAGTTCGAGCCCCGCATCAGGCTCTGTGCTGACATGGCAGTGCGAAGCTTGCTTGGGATTTTCTCTCTCCTTCTCTCTCTGCCTCTCCCCCACTCATACTGTCTCTGTCTCTCTCAAAAGTAAATAAACTTAATAATGATAGTATTTAAGGCCTAAGGAGAGTGGGGGAGGAGTTTAGGAAGTGACCTGTGGGAGGAATTTCAATTTTAAAAGGCTGGTCCAGAGAGGCTTCACTGGGAAGGTAACAGAACCTTGAAAGAAGTAAAGGAACAAGTCTTTTGAGTATCTGGGTGTTAGGGGCTGAAGAATGTACGTCCCCCCATTTCCAAATTCCTTTGAAGCCCTTACCCCAGTACCTCTGAATGTAACTATTTTTGGAGATACAGCCTTTAATGGGGGGTGATTCAGTTAAAATGAGGCCTAATGAGGGTTATGACCTGGGCTGTTGGGCAGGAAAACCAGTGAAAAGTGTTTTACACAGGAAAACACAGATGATACGATGAAGTCAGAATTGTCCTGTTAAGTTAGCATTGATGGCTTCAGTGAGAGCAGTTTTGGTAGAATTGAGCTTGAAAGCCTGACTGTAGTGTTTTTCAGAGGAAGAGGAGAAGAATTGAAGACAAGTTTAAAACACTGGAGAGTTTCACTGTATTGAAGAGCAAGGAAATGTGGTAGGAGGTGGAAGAGGAAGTGGGGCTTTTTGTTTGTTTTGCTTTAGGACAGATGAAATTAGAGGATGTTTGTATGCCAATATCTTTCAAAAAAACGTCAGAGTTTTGATGAGGCAATAGCCTCCCTGCTACAGCCTCCCAACTACCTTCCTCATCTATGAATACGCTGCTGATGGATGCATCTTACCGTTTCATTCATCTGCTCACAAATTTTCACGGTCTTTTTAACTCTTGTATGAAAAGTTCCAACGCCTTAGATGAACATTCCTATTTTCTCCAGTTTGACCTTCTGCAGTCTTATCTTTCTTCGTCAGAGCCCTATAAGTGAGGTACAAAGCATGCCAGTAGGCATGTGACTTTAGACAAACTAGTCAATGTACGGGGTATGGGCTCCTTCCCCTTTATAACGAGGAAGAGGGCGTGTCAGGTAGACTGGATCCTCTATAGACCGGCATCCCTAGCAGGCGGTAATTCTCAGCACCATCGCGGCCACAAGCAGGATACTCTCCTGAGCCCATCTTGCCCCTTCCACTTCTGGGGACAGCACGTCCTGTGCGGCCACTTGTTTTCCCTCCTTCGCTTTTGCTTTTCCAAACAGAACAGGTTTTAGAAGAGCCACAACGGCAGCTCCTTTAAGGTCGGCCGCCTCCCCGCCACCAGGGACTCGCCTCCCACTTTTCCTTTCACTTGGGACCATCCTCTCCACAGTCAGAATCGGCCACGTAGTAAGTGCCGCTTCCAACCAATCAAGGAGAAGTTAGCCCAGACCTTTGAGGAGCATCCACTCCTACCAATGACCTTCAAGTCTTCTCTAGCGCCTCATTTTGAGGGGCAAGGCCAACCCCAGCGATGGCAAATCTGCTCCGGGGAAATGTGTTCCGGGTACTGAGGGACTTGCCAATCAGGTAAGAACATTGAGGGAAGGGCCGTTTCTCATTGGCAACCGCCTCCGGGAGAGGGCCGGGCCTCGGGAGACGACAGTACGATTTGATTGGTAGGCGTGATGTTGACATCCGGGAAAAGCCCACCTTCTCCAACAGGGCGAACCTAGGTCTCCAGAGTGGCGGTGTCCGCAGCCAATCAGAGAGGAGACGCGCGGAAAGTTTGTTCAATGGGCGATGACCGTGGGAGGTTGTCACTCGGGTGGCTGTGGCAGAGGCCGGGCTAAGACGTGGCCGGGCAAGCTCCACTCAGCAGCCCAGACCGTCCGGGAGGCGGCGGGTTCCGTAGCGCGTCCTGGTCTTGATCGGAGGCTTTCAGCAGCGGGAGACGCGGGCGCCGGCGGCTGCACCTCCATGTTCCTGCGCGGGGAGGGACGCTGATGGAGCGCGCCACCCGCCCTGGGCCGCTCGTGCGGGCGCTGCTGCTGCAGCTGCTGCTGGGGCTCGCGGCTGGCACGGTGGCCGCAGGGCGCGCCACCGACCTCCCCGCGCCGAAGGTGGAGGCGGCGTTCGGCCTGGGCGCCGCGGCCGCTCCCACTTCAGCAGTGCGGGTACCGGCTGCGGGAGCCGTGACTGCGGCCGAGGTGACGGTGGAGGACGCCGAGGCAGTACCCGCGGCCGCAGTCGAGCAGGAGACGCGGGAGCCGGAACCCGACGACGAGGCCGAGCTACAGCCGCGAGGCAGGTGAGCGGCGCGGGCTGAACGCCCTGGACGGCGACCCGGGAGGCCACTTATTTACGCATGCGCTTCGCAGAGGCAAGGGGGTCCGTGGTTCCCCCTCGGTAGTGGCCTCTAGCACACGGAGACAGTGGTGACCCGGGGGTGAGTGCAGGGCCACGTTCCCCCTCCCCCCCCCCACCCGGCCAGCGACGGGTCTCTCTCCGGTCCTCGCTTGCTGGCGAAAGCAGCATCCTCGAGGGTGTCTGAGGGATGCCCAGGGAATGGAGCGCAAAGGTGGGAAAGAAACAGCACTTTCCCTCTTTTATTGTTTTCTAACTTTATTCACGTTGCAGTGACTCCCTCCCCTTTTTATTTAGTCTTCTGTGGATCACCCCATATCTCTGCTGGGGTGACAGCTGTTTGGGGAAAGGACTTTACAAAAACGGTTTCTATAATTCCCTTTAAACACACCCCCTGCAGTGGCTCCTGGACCAGGGGTGAGGTGAGTGTTGCTCTAATTGAGATCTGCAGAACATCCGCATCAGATCGCCTGCGGATGCTGGTTAACTGTACAGATTTCTAGGCCCCACCCCAGTTGTGCCGGATTAGACTTTCTTGGGGGTAAGAACCTGGAATCGGCAAGTTTAGCAAGCACTCAAGGCAATTCTTGACACACTAAAGTTTAAGAGCTGTGGGTAGGTCTTGAATTTTGGCAGTTCCTTGATATTAAGAGGACTTAAGCTATCAAAACATTTAAGATCCGGTTGTCTTGATGGATTTGGTTAGCCTCCTTAAAAGTGTTACTTCAAGATACATATTTTTAAACACCCTTTGAAAGTATGTACGCAAATGGAAGACATTTTAATAGTAAAATGTATAGTAAAGTAAAAGTAAAAATAGTGAAGTATTTTGCAGGCAGCTAATCTCAGCACAAGTGGGGAGAAAGTGATGTCCCCTCTATCAAACAGAGTGAGAGAAGGAGATTAGGTAAATTAAACCAGGGAGAACTAGGAACTGTATTAGAAAGTATTGTACGCTTGTAATTTAGCTTAACAAGTTAGATTTAATTTTCAGTTGAATACCAGAACTTTAATCTATGTGCCTGGAGGCTACTAAGGTAGGATAAGTACCAAAATTTTCTAGACCCTATTTGAATATTTACGTGTAGATTTTTTTTCCTATTAAGTAGCAGATATTTAACAAGTTTTCAGAGATTTTGCTAATGAATTAACTTTCCCGAAACAGTGTTTTTGTTTACCTTAAACTTCGGAGGCCTCTATTGAAAGTAAGTTACCTGATGTAAAGTAGATGTTTCATTTTTCTTAGGGACAGGTCCGCTGCAGCAGGGACTTATTGGCACATACAGCCCTCAGGACGCCCTGGGGTTAACAGAGGGCAGGCAGGTAGTCCCTGTTTTGCAGGAGGAGCAGTGTGTATTCTAGCAGCGAGGATTACATGAGGTGACCCATAATGACATGACAGAGCAGAAGCAGTGCAAATCAAGTGCCTGGGTGTCCCAGGGTTTTTGTGGTGTTCAGTGGGTGGAGTTTGGGGGTGAAGCAGGTAAAAAAATCAGAAAAGGTTGTGGCAGAATGAGTTGGTTTGTGAAATGTGAGTAGGATCATGGTGAGCAGATGCTGGACCTGAGGCAGCAGGAAGAGGCACAGAAGCTGAAAAGTATGTTTAGGGAACAGTTTTGCCTGTATACCTGTGTGTGTGTGTGTGTGTGTGTGTGTGTATGAGAGAGATACAGACATGCACCTGTGATATGTGCTAGGTCGGGAGTTGTGGAAGATGAGGTCAAAACAATAGGTTGGGACCAGATTGTTATGTAGAGTCTAACACTGGTAGCATTTGTCCTCACCTGGGAGCATGTTAGAAATCCGAATCAGGCACCACCCAGATCCACTGAAGGAGTGTCTGTTTTATTACACGATCGCCATATGATTCCCAAGCACATTACAGTTGGAGAAGCATTTTGTAAAGTATCTTGAATGCCAGGTCTCATTAAAGTTTGTTGTTAAGTGGATATAGAACAGAGGGGATAGATTTGAGAGGTTTGAGGCAGAATCTTGGTTCCTGGTAAATGAATTTATGTCTTCTTCTCTTGACACCCCCATCTGTGGATTGAGACGGGGTAGCCAGAAGATGGGGGTACACATGGGGAAGTGGGGAGATTGAGGAGGGCAGGGAAGAAAAGGGAAGGCGCTCAGTGTTGGGACATGATGACCTGGAGGTACAGGCAGGCCATCCAGAAGGAGTGATTTGGGAAGCAGCAATGATGATTGCCCGTAGTTGGAAAGAAATCAGGGTACAGAGTTGAAGCTGTAAGGAAGAGGAGGCTCGTGATAAGACCTCAAGAAATGCCTTCTATTTGGGGTGCCTAGGTGGCTCAGTTGGTTAAGTGCCCAACTTCAGCCTGGGTCATGATTTCGCGTGTGCTGACAGCTCAAAGTCTGAAGCCTGCTTCGGATTCTGTGTCTCCTTCTCTCTCTCTCTGCCCCGCCCCTGTTCTCTCTCTCTCTCTTTCTGAAAATAAATAAACATTTTTAAAAAATTAGAAAAAGAAGAGAAATGCCTTATGTTTTAGAGAAGATGAGCCAGCAGGGGAGACAAATCCCGCCGGCTGGGCTGGAGGTATAAGGTGAGGACTGAGAAGAATGAGGGCTTTGGTGGTATGCACACAGAAAAGAATTTACATGAAGCAACAGAGTGCCAGATTGCAAGATGGTAAGGATTCATCCGTCCTATTCAGCCCCACTCCCTCCTTCCTGCTCTGCTCAGCCTGCCTGACCGCAGGCAAGTTCTAGGAGTGGTTATCCATTCAGAGGAGGGAGCCTGTAGGGACAGGTTGAAAAAGAAACGAACAGAGGAGGAAGTGGAAGCAGTTGGAGAGGATCTACTTGGCAAACAGGAGGACCACTTCTTTCTCAGGCACAAGGAGAGTGAAAGTAGAGGAGCTGTAATGCCTGGCAGAGAGGAAGTGATCTGGGGCAAACAGAATCTTCCAGGAAGAGATAGTCCCTTGGTTAGGGGTCTGCCTGGTAGTTTGAGATAGTGGGGAAAGTTTGAGAAGCCTTGGATAAGTAAATTGATAGAGTCAACGAAAGATGCACATGCGGGTTAATGAAACTTCTTTCTAAGTGCTCTTTAAAACGGTGAAAAACCAGAGAATATCAGTGTTCCATAATAATTGACCAATATCCTGTTTGTTTAAAGGAGGAGGAACAGATTCGAATTAACCAAGCGTTTATTGCAAACAGCTGTGAAGAAGAACTATGGTACTTGCAAAACTGTTTTAAAAAGAGGGAGGTGGGGAATTAAGGTTGTCATATTTGCTCATTGTCTTTTGATGCCCAAGAAGCAGTATGAGACCCGCTGGTTCATTTATTTATTTTTTTTCTCTTGGTAGAATTTTCATTGGTTTTATCCTAACTGTTTACATCTCAAGAGCATGTAGATGAGTGAATAAACTTTTTTGTTTCTTTAAAAAGTAGCCTAAGTAAACTTGGTTTTTTTATTTAAAAATTTTTTTAAACATTTAATTATTGTTGAGAGATAGAGTGTGAGCAGAGAGGGGCAGAGACAGACACACACACAGAATCCAAAGCAGGCTTCAGGCTCTGAGCAGTCAGCACAGAACCTGACCCAGGGCTTGAACCCATGAACTGTGAGATAATGACCTGAGCCCAAGTCAGATGCTTAACTGACTGACCCAGGCACCCCCTTTTTGGTTTTTAATGTTTTATTTATTTTTTGATAGAGAGTGCAAGCAGGGAAGGGACAGGGAGAGAGGAGGACAGAGGATCCTAAGTGCGCTCTACACTGACAGGCTGGCAGCAGTGAGCCCAATGTGGGGCTCAAGCTGAGGAACTGCAAAATCATGATCCGAGCCAAAGTCGAATGTTCAAGCGACTGAGCCACCCAGGTGTCCCAACTGGGATTTTTGATAACAGCCCTGTCAGTGCTTCTGTTAAACCTTACATTTAGTTGAAATTTAAACGGGATGGTCACTGTGGGAAGCTGGGAAGAAAGTTGCGATCTCCTGTCACTGCTAGTTTTTGCGTACATCAGCACGGCTATGAGTTACCAGTTTCCTGACTTCAA